ACGAGTCTCTCTCTCTCTCTCACTCTCTCTCTCTCTCCCCTCTCCCCTCCTCCCTCTCCCTCTCCCGGTCCCCACCCCTCTCCCTCCACCTCTCCCTCTCCCTCTCCCTCTCCCTCTCCCCTCCTTCCCTCCCTCTCTCTCTCTCTCTATCACTTTCAATCTAGAGATGAATGCAAATACTTACTTGGGACGTTGAAACAGTAATGTGTCTATAAAGTCCTCTGTCATAAAAGCGCCTTGAAATAAAAGGTCTTTGGTAGATAGAAAGAGATTGGAAAGAAAAATTGCCAAACTCTCTCTCTCTTTCCCAAAAATCGGGCTTTTAAGTCTTAAACTGTCCCAATATTTGCTTTGGTCACAACTACCCCTATAAATGCCTCAAATGACTAAAAAACAAGTTAAAATCTGGGAAAAATCCTCGAAAAATTGGATTCCTTTTATTTCATTTTTGTAGATTTTATTGTGGCATATGGACTGGATGGTTCGGTCTTACACCAATCAAACCAGCCAGTTCACTGGATTGATCTGCATATTCTCTGCTTCAGTGTCATGCTGGTCCAGAACCACTGGTTTAATCAGTGTGGCCACTAGCCCCTTGTCTGACCAGCTAGTCCAATCCGAACTTGATAACAATGATCGCAACTCTATTTTTTGTTCCATCACCATGCAACAATGGCCCTCATCCTGTCAACCCTTATGTCCCCTTACGAAATTACTTGCCAATCAATCAATTTTCTACTTTTCTCCTTTTCAATATAGCAAAGAGAAGAACAAGAAGAAAAAAAAAAAGCGTCATAGAGACATTTACATAAAGATGTAGTAATATAGGATATTCTAGATGCTCTAATGCATTGGACTTCTTTGGATTTGGGGCTTCATGATTCCCACTTAGGTATTGGTTTCTGCTTGGAATTGTTTCATCATGTATACTGATTCTGGGCTTTGTTGAATAAACTATGTAATAATTGCAAACGTTAGTAGCGTGGGTTATTAATCATTTATAACAGTTTCTAAAATTATTTATGTTTTCCCACTTCCTTTTCTGGCTTTTTTTAACTAAATGGTTAGCTCAAATTGGCAATTTTGGAATAATTTACTTGTCTGCTTTTTAATTATTTGTTGTGGTTTAACACTTCTCGCTTTGATATTCATGGATTATATTGATGGGTTTAAACATTGGAAAAGAGACAATTGACTAGAACTGTGATCACTAAACCTTAATGTTTACCTGGTGTGTATTATCCCTTTTTTTGTACATATATAACTGCATTTCATTTTTCCAAACATTTTACTCTGAAGTTTTCTAGCTTCTTATCATTTATCTGGTTCCTCAATATTGTGATCTTTATTTTTTATTTTTTATCAACTAGCATCGATGGGTTCCATCCAAGTTGCTGAACTAGATTGGGGAAATTCACACCACATCGCAGCTGTTGATCCTCCATTTGACTATGTCATTGGCACAGACATTGTATGTTCTCTTGATAAATTCTGATTTTGCTTCTAACTAATAATATGATTGTCAAGTTTCCCTCTTATTTTATTTATTGAGTAAAAGTTTGATCAGAGCTGAATGCAGTCCAAACATGAAAATAAATAATGTATATATATATATATATATATATATATATATATATAGTAGGTAATAGATCTAATGACGTACGGTAGTATAGTAGTATAA